TAATAATAATAATAATAATAATAATAATAATAATAATAATAATAATAATAAATAATAATAATAATAATAATAATAATAATAATAATAATAATAATAATAACAATAATAATAATAATAATAATAACAATAGTAATACTGCTGGAGTAAACATGGCTAATAGAACCTAATGGCATTCAGCAAAGTTGTACTGAGGGACATTGATGCTCAGACGAAATGATATAGGATGTAATGAAGATTGAAAGACAACATCAAATGTTTTCGAAAATAGTGCATGAGTTGACTAAGTTGGGGAATACGAAATGGACTACATTAAAAATCATATTGAAGAGTCCGCAAAAGTAAGGATGAGGACACATTGTCAACTATATGACGGTAGTGTTGACGGGTAATTTTAATAATAATTAACAAAATATGATTTTTTTAATGACATCTAAAAAAATATTTTTGTAATTATTTGAATGTTCATTGAAATATGTAATATAATCTACTCTGCTAACTTACGTGACGACTATTTGTGGAGTTGGAGGGATGTAAAACAGATATTTGGTTCGAGCACGAATTATTCTACTACTTGTTCTTAGAAATCGAATTCAACACCTAAATAACGTAAGCTTCTTTGAAGTTATTCCTCTACCTCCTCATGATAACGCTGAGTAAAACACTTTTGGAAAGTTGTTCTTTTCAGAACCACCTTTACCAATAAAGCACTTACAGTCGCAATTTGACAAAACAAATTCTAACTTTCCAGCAATCTTTACGGTTATTTCTGCAGGGTATGAATCTCCAAACACTTTTCGTACAGTTCGCTTATAATTGAAAAACTAGGCCTTGTATTTATCATAGGAAACAGGTCGATCAAAGTTTGCTTAATGTGAAAATATGCCCTTTTTAAGAAAGGTAAGTGACTAGTATAAACTATAATGATACAGTGCATGTTAAAGTGCTTGCCAACGATGGTCACAAAACTTTTACCTACTCGGTAAAATGACAGAATTGCAGAACTGGTAAAAAAGATCATTGTTTCACTTGTAAGAAAAGTGTTGGTAGTACTGACTACTTTGTAACTTGATTTCAGATTGAACTTTCAAATTGAGTTCTAAGTAATTCCCTTAATAAGTAATAGATAATTCTCGGAAACATTACTTCCAATTCCAACTTTTGTTATTGCTTTTGAGTAAATAATTTTAAAATCTACTTTACATTGACCAAGCTAGTTTATACCGCGTTTTCACTTGAACGGTGAAAAAAAAAAAAAACTCATTTTGATAGTTTGTATAATTTTGATAATAGAGGAAGAAAACATTGTTTAGAAAACATAAACATTTATGAAGGACATATGTATAGGCATGTGGAAACGCAAAGGACGTGAGTAGTTGCGTTCCCAATAAGAGCGGAGAAGACAAAAAAACTAACGATCAAGATTATGCAGTAATTTGGCGCAGATGCCTTTCGAACCTATACTACAGGAATCTTTACTCCAAGGACGAGGACCACGTCAACAGTGAATCGTTTCCATGAATAGACAGTAGACCTTGAATGCTACAGATAACGATGCAGATATCACTGTATACATATATCAGTACAAAAATTATAATCATAGAACAGAATTCTAGACTGAACAATAAAACTGTCCTTTTCTAAATAATTCTTTTATCATAGTCCATTTTTTAGGAATCAACATCAACTTGTTAGAGGAGATAGGAATAATTAAGAAACTGACTTTCTTAGAAACGATCACTGTTTGTACTCAAATTTGAGTAAAAGGATTTTCGACTGGTGTAAAATTCACTGAAGAACATTAATTATTGATGAATAAGTGATTAAAAGTACTGCGAACTACGAAAAACATAAAGTGAACAAAAAAGACAACAGTGATGGCATTAACAACCGACTCAATAGAATAACTCATTTTTTTTTATCATCATATTTTCCTCTTATGCATTTCCCCTTAAATCTTCGCTTTCAAAAAATTAAATGTAAAAAAGTTTAGTTTCTGTTAGCTTTAAGTTAGACCAGTATTTCATCAAAAAAAGTTAAATCACTGAGTAATTTAACTTGTCTTAAGTGTAAGGCATACTTCACCATTAAAAAAACAAGGAATCTGAGGGCACGAAATATTTTATTTCATAAATTATCGAGAATGAATGTAATGCAATTCAGAAACATACCAAGCATTTCCGCTAGTTTGTTACTCGTTCTAGTAATAGCTAACGGTTTTACAACGAAAAAAAATTTTTGAAAGGAAAATTTACTTGAATTTAACCATAATGGATAGTTAATGAATTTGTCATAGGTAGTATCATTCGTGAAAAAATACCATAGAAGTAGAAAGCCATTTTTTTGTTCCACCCACTGAATTTTCTTCAATAGCGTTAGAAAGAGGGCCAGTTATATTTGGTATGCTTTCTTATTTTTCCCACATAACCTGAAATCCATTACATTTAAAACCACAAAAAACCCTGGCAAAGTAAGCGATAAAAATCGAACAAGCAATTATTTTAGCAGAAAAAAGGACAAGTGCACTTTTTAAGAATTTTCAGTTTGTGTTTACCGAAATTCAACTCGACTGTTCAACTTTCTCCTCAATCTTTACATTACCAACCAAATTTCACACCAAGAAGAAAACAAAAATTAGAAGATAGAAAGCTTAATTTTTGAACGATTGATTGGTATTCGCTTTCATTTTTCCAGCTGCTTAAACAACATTAGATTGAATCTCCAACTCAAGTAACATCGGTTCGTTCAGCAACTCTCTGTAAATGTAAGCAAAATCCGAAATTTCGTATCAATTGGCATTCAGTAGTGTACTGCTGTTATATAGTTCATGTAGTAAGCCTATTCTAAAGTAGGATTACTACGTATAACTTCTAACGAACCTCTGAATCAAATAGGAGTTCGAAACACTTCTCATTGACTTCAAAAGCATCTCGACTTTTTTGGCTTTGTTCAATATTTGTTAAAGTTGAATCAAATGCAGGAAATTAACACTGTTAATTCAAAAGATAACAGTCAGTTCTTTGGTTTGGGAAATACAAAGCCTTACAAAATGTTTTACATAAGTTTCCTCGAATTTCAAACATTTATAAATAACTGCTATTCAGTAATACAAAAACCAAGTAATTATAAATTAATCAGTTAGGTAAGCTAACTCCATCAATACTAAATTTCAACATAGTAAACGTATTATACAGAGAGCAGAACAGTTTATAAAGTGTGACTTTTGATATGCGTCTAAATAACCTGTTAAAGTTGAAATTGCGGTACTTTTCAACGGTCTGAAAATTGAAGCTTATAAAGAAAAGAGAAACAAACTTTTAGATTTCTTGAAATAAATGGAGGAAGAAAGAGTTTGAATTACTGTGAACTAATAAGAAGTTCTCATCTGTCTCTTCCTATCACCGATCAAGTTGAATTGCTAGTAGTGTAATCAGTAAATAACAGAAAAGAAATACACAATTCCACATTCATCCTTACTCTTTCTTCACTTTGTAATCTCCAAAATTTCAAACCCATTCTAAGGAGGTATATATATATATATATATGCAAAATGAAACGTATTGCTTTCGAATTACATCATTACTAGCAACAGCCATGGGACGGCTTTTTGCACATTCACTAAATCATATTTAACGGAGTTGGTCACGTTATTATTACTCCATTGGGGGGAGTATAGGAGGTTGTCGAGGGTTTTCTTGGGATTCGATAAGCTGTTTGCATTGAGGGGATGTTAATCAAAGTGAAGACACTGACAGGAAAGGAAATCGAGCTCGACATTGAGCCTAATGATAAGGTGGAAAGAATCAAAGAAAAGGTTCCTCTTTTTGAATCTTTTTTTTTCATAAATTCAACACCCATTGATTCTTAATACCTTCTTTTTTTTTCGACAGTAGTCTTCCAATTACTAATTGATTAGTATCGAGGCATAGTATATTCCTGAACAAACTGATAAGGCCTTATTAAATGTTAGGCAAGATAAGGAAATTCATTTTTTGAAATACTTCATAGATTTGAGTTTTCTCATCAAATTTACAGGTAGAAGAAAAGGAGGGCATACCTCCACCACAACAGCGATTGATTTTTGCTGGAAAGCAAATGAATGATGAGAAAACAGCACAAGATTACAAGGTAAAATTTGGGGAGCTTTAGCAAACATTAGTATCTTAATCTAATCACGTTATGTTTGTGGTGATTGCTAAGATGACTGTATATTTGATCTTCGTGGACCACTTTATTGCTAAACGGAATTATGGCTTGTTAAATATGCTTAAAGTCCAACAAATCCTTTCCTTTTAAGAGTCGTATTTAATTTCCACATAGAATTAAGTGATTTTTTTCTCTGTCTCTGGTCTTCATTTTACCCAGGATTCGGAATTCTGAATCTAGCGTGTATAGTTGTTACATTTGCTGCTGGAAGGAGGTTAAACGGTTTTCTGTTTGAGTTCCTAAAAAATTCTGGGAATAGTGTGATATTCAGACCTACTTTCTTGAGGGGAATTTGAAAGTTTTGTTTAGCGCAGGCTTTCATAGATTATGGAACTTCATGTGATACAGAAAAAAGTACTTCTGTAGTATGGGAAAAGGGAATTATTTGACTTCGCGACCAACAAAAATTTGTTCCAGAGGAATAACTAATTCCCAGAAGTCTTTGGAATTGTTTAGATCTCCGAGTCCTTTTCTTTGCAAGTGAGTAAAAAGTCCACATTTCATTAACGTTTTTTGTGCAAGTGTAGTTTCGTTACAGGTTGCTGGCGGATCAGTTCTTCACTTGGTGCTTGCACTCCGTGGTGGTGCTTAGTATGCGATTAACAAATGAATATATTTATAAGAGCTATTCTTGTGTTCACAGTGTGTTATCTATCTTTCCTTGTTCGAAATTACGTGTACTATTAAATTTAGATTGTGACTGCACAACAACGATTATGTATATCCTTGCGTTATACATCATGTTTTTGCTTCATTCTTTCTTGCTAACATTTTTTTAAAGCTTTATGAGGTAGTACACTGTAATAAAAACTTATGGATTTTCATAAATTCGTCGAAAATTGAAGGTATAATTTATGTCACCAATTTTTGAATAGCTGTTTGAGTCCCGAATCATTTTTTTGCAAGGGGAAGTTGTTGCGTTGCAAGAAGGAGATCCTGCAACAATGATTTTGAGCCGACATAGTTCAGATAGTTTTGCAAGTAGTGAATATTTATAAAATAAAGATCCAACATGATAAATACATAAGCACGTATAATATTAATGAATTACAAAGATTTGCAGAGAAAGAAATAACAATAGATAGACTAATCATAATAGTGCACCAATTTTATTTGTCAGTTTGAGGAGGATATTTTGCGTAAAACTTTGGGAATTATTGACCAGACTTTCGTGTGGTCAAGCACAAAAAAAAAAAACGCAAATAGTGGAGATGGGTGAGTATCTCAAACATGATGGCAAATTGTTTTAGTGCAGAATAGTGGTTTACAAGGTATAGATGTTTACAATTCAACGTGTTGTACTTCCTCGCGAGTTTGAACCGTTTTCCATGAGCCGTCGCTTCTGAAAATTAACTTTAGCATCGTGATTATTATTCCATAAAGTGGAAGAGGAATTTTGTTAATAAGAGAGAATTACTAGTTCTTGACTAGTTTGAATAGCTCAGCAACAAATTCGGAGTTCTGTGAAATGATCTCTGTTAAGTGAAATCAAATGTTGAGCAAAACTTACGAATGGTCTTTCACCAGAATGCCATCGAAGATGTGCTTTCAGATGCGAACTTTTGCTGTACACTTTACCACATCCCGGGACGTGACAATTGTGAATTCCCCGCATTTTTGCCGGAATATTTGCAATACCTAGTAAAGTTGCTGGGTTTAAAGTTTGATTGACAGTTTATCTAAATGTCATCAGTCTTTTTTAGTCTTTCATCAAAATAAAGGTTGAAAGTTATGAACTTTTTCGCATTTCATCTGGTATTAATTGCAACTAAAGTTAGACCTGCCGAATTAAAAAAGTTATTGGTCTTATAATTTCTTACATTTTAATGGGTTCTGTTGTTTCAATCTATCTATTTTAGGATTCAGGTCAAGAAATTTGATTGTTCACTAGATAAAACCACGAAAAGCATTGACCCTGTATGACTCTCACGCCTGATTACACAATCACCTAAGTTGGCTCGAGATTTTGATTGATGTCCTTTCCTGATCCTTATCTTTTGCTTCCGGAAGGGATGATTATGGAGATTTATGGCACCATCTTTGATTTAACTGTAGAAAATAACTGCTGTTTATTTTTTTTTGCTGAAGGTCAAAACAAAGTGCAAAAGAATGATGATAGTAAAATTCTGTACTCTTAAGTAGCTATTGTATATCATCCTGCTTTGACTCGATTCATTTTAATTTAGGGAAAAGCTTATTTTACCCGATTCAAAGAAGTGAGGGTTGAGAATTAAATAATGGACAAACTGTAAGGAAATTAATTTGTCAGATAATTAATTGTCATAAAATAGGACTCAGATGTAGAATTTTCAGCAATTTTTCTTGGCTTATCATTATAACTTCCATCTTCTTGATCCATTTAAAACTTATGAAAAGCATGAGAAATCAGATGCATGGAAGTGGTTTTAATTTGTTGTCTTTCTTAAAAGAATTGAAATTGAAGGATAGTAATGAACTCAGAAGTCAGAACCATTATTAGAAGCAATTCTTGCTGTCATTGCGTTATACTGTTGAAACTGTTCCAAAGCCAAAAGTTCCGAGGTAAATTCTGATTCTTCGAATAAACGAATGGCTCATTCAACTATATGTCGTGGAAACCATCCCGAATTCGTAAAAGAAAATAGAAAAAAAAAGACCTTTTCACGCGTGTTCTTTTAAAGGATTTGTCATAAAAAAAAGAGAGGCAACAAATCATACATTGAAGTGTGAAAAGTGTCAATTATATTTCGATTTTCCCTTAACCAATTCAAAAAATCTCATTCAAATTTGCCGTTTTCAGGGCCATTTTACTGTCTGTTGCTCTCCGCTTTGGTATAGTAATTTTAACGTATGTTATATGTTTGGTAATATAGATGAAGTATGGTGAATGGTATCAAAAAGAGTCCTTCAGATTAGTTGAATTGTATTTCTCCCATCCATCTACTGATATTTACAAGATGAAATCCGACAATTCGGACGATGACAGAGTGATAAAGATGACAGAAAGCAGATAATCCAATCTAAGCAACATAATGAGTAATCTGGCAATCTTGTAATATTCTACCAAACTTATTTAAACCAATTTGTGCAACTGAAATGAGACTGCTGAAAATCTTTTAAAATGCGAACTTTACGCTTCATGGTTTCATTCTAAACGAAACATCTGCCAAAGATGTAGTTGACAAAATTGCGGTCACTTTTTGTCCACAGGCATTCTACTATTTTGGCTGATTACGGTAGAGCCCTATGATATACATAAATTTTAACGAAATTACATAGAGGTTCGATTTTTTAAACGTTTTGGCAAAAAATAATAATAAGTTCGGAGTGTCCTATCCAAAAATATAAACTATTCAAATTCAACTTCCCAACTTTGTACCAAACATAGCTCCAAAGCTCTTGAAGCTTAATTAGAAAATATTTACTCATTGGAAATCAATAGCTTATTTTTCGAACAAAATTGGAATTCAATTATTTGAGTTTGAAATTATCGGATTAACTAACTTGTAGCAGTGAAAGGTGAAAGATTTAGTCTGGACACAAGTAACTAATTGTTGAACAACCTATACTTTCCATTTTTGTCAATCTCAAATTGTCATTTTCATTTTTGGATTAGATGGTAAGATCAATTTAAAAGAATACGACAGTTGTGTTCAGCGTAAGGTGATTAACTGACAACAAAATACTGCTCATCTAAAGGCTATCATTATAACTACTTTTATTTGAAAGAGCTTAGTCCAGATGACTATTTCCATGACCCTTATGTCCTCATCATTATTATAGAATTAAGAAGTAATGGAAAAAATGTGGAAGTGAAAGAGGTGCTATTCATAAAAAAAAGTATTCATTTCAAGATGAGAATTGCTGCAAATAACTAATAGTTTATGAATTGGGAAATAATATTTATTAAATTTATTGTGAAAGATAAAGAAAAGCTGCTAAGGTACTTAGCATCATAGCAAGTATTTCCGAAATTAATTTTAATTCCAATTCAGAAATCAATTTCATTCTTCAAAGATTAAACTTTATTAGAGACTATTTTGATCCTAAATGAATAATCATCAGAGGTTTCTGGTGACCACCACTGTTTTTTTTTCCTTGTCCTATTCACACCTTTCTTTCGCTCTCAAAAACGAACAAATGATTCCGTCCGAAATGCCGCCGATATGCTCCAGTTTAACAATGGAATGGGCTCGTTTTTTCTTTTTTGGCGGCACTTCGTTTTTGTTGGAATTGCTTTTTAAGAATGAATACTCAAAAAAAAAAAAAAAAAGTGTTCAAATCGTTTATTTTCTCAACTTATCTTACTCTTTCCTCCGCAAATGTATCAGTGAAAGGTAAATGTGAAATGTGAATGGAATTGAAAAATGATATCAGTGCAAATCATCAAATTAGTCAATTCTCACGGCTATTCTCTTCTCAGTTTAACCTTTTCTAATTCATATTTACATGTAAATATCATTTTTGAAAGAATGTTTCCGGAAAACCTGATTCTATTGAAGCTTGATTGGAAGGAATATTGTAGCTGCAGTTCTCACATATAGTAATTTAGAAAACTTGAGCCTTTCAATAAATGTTATAATCATCGTGTGCCGGATTACACGGGAAAATGTGATGTCATTCAGACATGTTTTAGATATCAATAAATTGAAAGAGTTAGCTAAAAAGAAATGAGCAATAGGTTGTTAGCACGTCATCGTTCAGGTTGACGCCAAAATTAATATTACTGACATGAGTGAAGTACTATGAAGCCGTGGAACTGCAGACTCGATATATGCAAGCGGAAAATGTAATTGCTATTTTCAATGATTGTTAAACATATACCATAACTTGTTATTATCTTCCATGCTCACCACCGTCCCTTTTCCTCTTCTCCATTTCTGTTCCTTTTCCTCCGTCGATAGTTTCATTCCACTGTTTCTTCTTGCTCCTGACCTGGTGATCCTGTACTTTTACTTACTTTTTCTATCTCAACCTTTTCAGCTAAGAGAGACATGCTTTTCAATTTTTATAGTAGTTGATAAAATTTCGTGATACTTCGCTTCTGATACTTCCAAATTAAAGGCATAGCAGTTGTGACAGGCAGAGATTATTTGTTATACAATTCAAAAGTTACTTTTAATAACAATTCCAAATGCCGAGGTAGGAGGAAGGTATACGGTTTTTACAGGAACAGAATGATAATCTAAATAACCATATCAATTAATTCATACAATAGGAACTAACTCATTTGGTATAAATCCACATTAGCATTACCTTAGAAATTACTATTCGAATTTTACCAGTTGAAATGCGTTAAGAACATAAAACAAGCCTGATAAGAAGATTCACCCAATCTTTCGGCCTCCTGACAGTTTGGACATTCACAGTTGGATCGAGTAGGTAATTTGCCGCCTCCTGCATGTGTTGTTGAACTGCTAGAGATCTTTGATAGTGGATTACCGGTAGAAATAGAATGTTGATTAGATATCGATGCCACCTGACCCGCAGCTGATGCCGTAGCTGATACGGTAGCAGATAATAGTCCTTGGAACTGTGGACCCAAATAGGGAGAATAAGTTGCTGCAGCAGTATCAGTACCTACTGCTGGCGAATATGGTAGCGGAGGCCAAGTTCCAGTTGGTTCTGTTGTCCACCATGGGGCCGTTGCAGCTGCTGACCATGAATATGGTGGATAAACTGCTGCTGTGGCATTCGTATACGGAATCGTATCTATCAGACTACTTCCTGCTACCACCACACTTTCTGTAGTTCTTGAATCTTTTTTAGATAATTTTTCATCCACCGTTGAAGCAATACGACTTTCTGAAGCTAATCGATTGTACTGTTCCATTAGCTTACCCAAAGGGCTTTGTTCACAATTTGATAACATCAGACTTCCAGCAGCAGCAGCTGCAGCAAGCGGTACAATGGGTTTCAGGTCACTTTGAGGATCCATATTGATTTGTATGATAATTTACAAAGTTTATTCACCGATTCTGCACTTCAGTTCACGAAAATGATCGCAACGATAGTAAATACAATTAATGGAATATGGTAGGTTGCATTTAATATTTGTTCAACCAATTACTGAATTCCTGTAATTTAGATATCTCTCGAGAATGATCTTGAGGGTTTTCTCTTATCGAAAAGATGGAATTCCTGTTTTACTTTTGAAAATGTGTTATTTCACCTCGAGATATACCAAGAGATGTTTCAAATATAAATGTCCTAAAGCAAATATATCAATTCATGCAAATATGACAATGAGAACATTACTCAGTAACTTATGCCAATTTCAAATTTTGATTAGTATTGGATGATATCAGTAAGCAGTTTGTATGGAAAACTTCGACATCGTCGTAGCAAAAAAAAAAAAGAATCTGTTTAAAAGGAAAATTAAATGGTAATTACTATCTCATACAAAATTTCTTCTTAATATTCCAAAGTTTTGATAACCAACCCCGTAATTCCTTTCAGGGTTGAGATTATTGAACAATAATCATGCTCAATAATAGTAAAGGCAATGATGATGATGATGATGATTATGATAATGATGATGATGATGATGAGGAAGGAGCTGAATGAAATTGATGCATTTCTCCAGTAGGAGTAGAGATCGGGAAAGAAAAATGTCAAATTCATGAGGCAGTGCTGAGCCCCGCCTTGCTCTCCTTTAATAACTATAGCTTGGGATGGTTGTTGTCGATTGCTCAACTTGACGAGGACAATCCTAGCTTACATTAACAGCCTAAACAGCGCCTCTCCTCCTCTTCCTCCTCCCCTCTTTCTCCTCCTCCTCCTCCTTCTCCTTCTCTTCATCCTCTGTCAAGTATTTGTATACGGTAACTATCCTACAACTCATTCCTTCCCATTTTGTACGCTTTCTTTACTGTATTGTATTCTGTCTCAGTACAAAGATCGCTTGGATTGCTATCATCTTGTCATTATGAAAAAGCATCTCCAGTAATACTATCACCGTATCCATGAAGTCAATCACCGTATCGAACTCACATTGAAACAACTATCTGTCATCTCAGTTCAGCAACTGTCAACTGAATGTTGAAGAAATGAATTTTCGAAGTTTTCTACCCTATGCATGACGCTGAAGCTATGAATCGGGATGTATTATATTCACGTTTTTTCTATTTCACTTCATTATGTCTGCTTACACATTAACAGTTTACTCAACAATTTCACTTCTTTGCTTCTTCCTGGTTCCCTTAACGTATTTGAATTTTAAAAAAAAAATTTGAAATGCAATATATCGGAAAAGTGAAGTTGAAATGATTCATTAAATCCGAAAATGAAGCACATTTTCAAGTTCTTTTTCTTTTTTCAAAAACATAAATTGTACCAAATTTAAAATATCAAGCAATCACTGGACTTTGTCTGCACAATGTCTTTGTTTTTTAATAATTTATTTTATTGATGAGGCTCAGAACTCTGTAAGTCATTAGTATTCAAATTTTCTTTCACATCATTCAGGTTCACTTCCTTGATAAATCCACTTGTTGACCAAAGTATCAATTCCAAAGTTAATTCCAACATCGTAAACAAATATTTATGCTTGAATTGATGCTAAAATTGATTACTTATGTGATAATTGGTGGAGATAAATTAATTCGGCAAAATCAAAATTTGAAATTCTGGTAATTATTCACTGAAAACATAAACCACTTTTTACAGTTTTCTGGATGGCTTATTATCTTGAAAATTTAGTTATCGAACATAGTATTGATAAAGAATACTTCTAGTCTATCTTAACTTATTTGCAGTTTGTGGCCTGAACATGAATTTACACGATTCTGTCCTGAATTTTAAATTATTGCATGTCTACTCCTGTCCGCGTATGTTATTGCATGAAATAGTGAGCGGAAGCTCAGATAGAACTTCAAAAGTATCTCGCCGCCTCTTTGAAAGGTAAAAAAGAGGTGGATGTTGACACAATCAAACTCCACTTTAATGTTCAAATCGTCGTAGCCTTTCTGCTACAAGAAAAGCCGCCATTTTGTCTGTTGTTGCTGATGGTAGATGGGCAAGACCAGAGAATTGGGACGATATGACGGGAAAATAGCCATCATTGCGTAACAGCAAAAACGTTTTCCCCAATAAATTATAATATCAAATTTTCATGATTGTATACTTTTACGATATTAAATGGAAATTTCCAGTTATTCATGAATAGCTAATATAATTAAAAGAATATTAATTTCAGCAAAATCTATTCTATAACGATAAACTTAAATCAAAATTTAATTCAAATTAAGTGCAATCTTTCAGCAAATTTTTAAAAAAACAAATAAATTTAAATTAATATCAACACATCAATCTTCCCTGAGATGTTATTTCTGTTTCTCATTTAATGCACAAATTATTTCTTGTTTTTTGTCAGACAGGTGTCAGATAGGGTTTTTTTGTTAGATACGTATCGTCATAATTTCAATCACCAATCAGGTGAACTTTGAACTAGGTCATAGTCTTTTCTCAATTTCATGCAAAAGCATTTTATCATCGTAGTTATATTTGCCGCTTCAATAAAGTTTGAAATCTTAAGTTATTCCTAAACTGATCTTTATTTGCAAAGTAAACAATACTTGTTTATTGTTCACTGCTACTGAGAAGAGGATTACCGTAATGAGAAAACAAAATGATAGTGTGGGAGTGCAATTGCATATAGTATGATGTGGTACCAAAGGATTTATTGTGCCCAATTTGAGAGGAAAGTAGTAGCACCTGGTGAGGATATTCCTCTCACTTTTTTTGCATTCCTTACTGTTCCAAGACCCCGATCCGATCCAAACCAATGTTCCTACCCTGTTATTTTCCACTTCAATGCACCCCTCTTGCGTTAAGTGATTAATTGGCTTCATCCTTCTTCCCAATCTCTCTCCTCTGATTTTTTATTTTAAAAAAAACTCATATGTATGTTATTCGTTTTCTTCCTTCCTCCGTCAAAAATGATTTTTTTTTTTGTAATTCAAAAGTAAGCAGCAAAATTCCCGATGAATCGAACGAATGATACCGATTTTGGTTGTTTATCCATTTTCTCAACAAGATGAATATCCATTGATTATTGTGCGAGAAAAGGTAACCCCCTGCTGAGTGGACACATACTTGCGCTTTACTCTTCCTGGAAGGTAATGCAATAATGAGGAAAAAAAAACAGCAGTCAATCCAATTAGTATTTCCTCTTTGTTCATTGTATCAATGAATCAATGAATTTTTCACACCAACAGCTGTCTCGGGAAACGATCTATCAAAAGCAATTATCACTCTTAAAAAAAAAGCTACTTGTCGCTGGAACTTGGATGACATATCCGTCAGTATCTTCAAAACTTGGAGAAAATTAATCTATTTGATGGCAAAAAAAAGTAATAAACAAAATAGGAATTTAAATCGGATACAAGCCATTGTTTGCTTTTACTGGACTAATATTTTCCAATTAGCATTTTTGTGCTACCAAAAGATGCAATGATTTAAGTTTACTTGGCTCAAAATTAGAATTATATTGAATGGAAGAGTTAATAGATAAATAAGAGGTAATTATCACTGAATAGAATAATAATGAATAATGAATAATTGTTCATTATTCTGTTCAGATATTCATTAAAATAATAAATAACTGAATAGAATAATAGCATAATGTGACTGAATAAAAAGTTAGATTGAAAGTTTTGCTGCCGTATAAGTTTTCCTAAACTAAGACTTTCTGAAGAACCGAAAATCCACCAAAATTTAATTCACTTCTTTTCATACTACATTTTTATCAAAATTTGTTGGAAAGTATCGAATTTAAAAAATTAAAAACAAACATTAAAATTGTAATTCATCGAATTATAAAAAGTTGCATATTTCTATCTGTTATGAATAAAATACCTTTTATATTTCAAAAGATGCTAAAAAGCACTAAAATTTCCCGGAACTTCTTTGATTACAAAAGGTAAAGTTTAACAATAAATCGATGTGATTTATACTGAACAGTTAAATAAGTATAATTCGCACAGAATTATCCAGATATTATGTCACCAGTAATTTATCCAGTTAACGGTAGCAATCAGCTCATTGTTGGTGACGTAATAAACATGACATGACATGATAATGGTGTTGATCACTTTCAGCTATATCGTCTCAAACTTAACAGATATGAGAACACTGTAACTGATGATTTGGTTATCTGCATTATGTGTGGATGACAACTTATCGATCGAATTGCAGAGTCTTACCGAGAAAGTAATTTAGCTTGCGCTGTTACAGTGAAGGTAAAAAAAAAAGTCTGGATTCCTGTCACATTTCCTACAGCAGTTATCGTTATTCGAATTAAAAATTATCATCAGTGATGGAGTAGAAAAGGAAAGGACTTACTTCATATGAGGATCTCTACAGGAGATTGTTGCACAATCCATCTCTCTGCTACTGCTTTAATCTGGTCATTAAAGGCACATAATTGTAGCATCGTATTTCTTTGTCTCATCATTGAATGTTTTTTTTTTTTCTTAATGCATTACTGTTATTACAGGTTGTGTCCACAGACTCTACTATGAGCAATGAATTCTGAGCAACTTCCAAGCGAAAGTGAAATCCAAGCATTTCAGTAATTCTAATATCTCCACCACGTCTCGTACCGTAACATAGTGTATGATAACATCTGATACCAATTAATTTCAAAGGAATTAAACTGCTTGTGAAGTTTTGCAACACCATTATAAACAGATATGACATACTGAACAGTTTGGCCAACAAGATCAATGATCACATAAAATTACGATATTTATTCCTATGCTAATTAGCATTTTATAGAATTAGTGCTTAAAATAGTGCATGAAATAACGATGTGTCTATAATTAGCAACCACTGTTAGCCTCATCACCCACAACTTCTGCTAATTGCTCAATTATGCTAGAAGAAATTTTAGTGAACAACAGAGAGCTGCGAATGTAAACATTTATAATAAACAACTGGAAAAATTTATAGAAAGATAAATTTAGACTTATAAAATCCAACAAAAATTAGGAAAGTAGAAAAAAAAATGGATTTAGCTGAAAGTTGCTGATGCTAATTGCATAAAATTTTAAAAAATGATAACGGAAAAACCGGAGATGTGGACAAGTTCGCCTCTTACTTAAACACTGTTACATAATACTGCAAGGATGATAATTGCAATAATATATTAGCAATCTGGTACAGACATGCGTAACTATAACAATTCTTAAGCAATTCCATATTAGTAAATAAAAGTTCTAAAGATCAATGAGTACCACTTGCGGTATTTCGAACGAACGGTCGAATAATATCCATTGCTCTCGATAATTCTGAAACAACATCAATTTGTATGTACTCGCGCGTCACGAAGCCAAGAAAACAGTGTCAGAGTTAGCTACCTAAAGTTAGGTGATTCAGTAGCCTAATAAATTAATGACATAAGTGAGACAGTTTGAACAGGAATCTTCGCGAAACTCCTGATGACATATATTGACACAACACTATCAGAATTGAGTGTGGAGGTAGCAGCTGTTATGATGATAAAAAAAAATGTCAAAAAATAATCTTGAAAATTTGAAAAACTGGAAGCATATTAAAAGTCACATCCATCCAAAGAATTTTTTAGTAGAACAAGAAATAAAAGCATTCCGAAAAAATATAAGATATTTGCAATCTTCGCTTCATGAATGAATGGACATGTTTTGCGACAACCAAAATCTTACTGTTTTTAATTTTATATTGAAGTCTGTGTTTTCCATATCGTCAAGATTTGTTTTTGAAAACAAGCCAGTTATCGGTGAAAGGATTAACCACAATTTTCAAGAAAAATATTTCCAAATTACCTTGCACCAAGTAGTTCAGTTTCGCATCGTTCAACGCTATTGATATATCTTCCTGGTTACTTGAACGTATATTCATTATATATACCTGAAACTCCAATAAGCAGAACTGATGAGCTTCAATTGGCTTACAGTATTCCCAACATCCGAATTAACGTCATTATATATTAGAATAAAAAATAAAATTTGAAATTAGGCTTTAAAAAAAATTAATCAGAGGAGAATAGAAATAATAAGATTAACTAAAAAGATTCCTTTTTATAATAAATTCCTCTTCCACGTAACAAAAATCTCAGAATAGAGAACTAGAGAAGGAAAAAAAATTACCTTTCCATTTCCTCCTTCCTTGGCATCCACTGAAGAAATCGCAAGAGATGGTGCTGAATTAATAAAAAAACTACAAAATTTGAATCACTTTTTTCATTTCAGACAAGCTATTTCACATCACTGTGTTTATATCCACCAAATTTCTTTAATTACTAATTTTACTGTGGATTGGATAACTCTTCATACTTCTATATGTTTAAGATTTCAAGAGCACAAAATGACAAAATAGCAGAACTATAAGACTCATTCTATTGTATGCTGTTTCTCAAAAAACTAATCCACATCAAATTCCTATAAGAATTTAAATACAACCAACCACGAGGAAAATTGAGCAATAAAGCACTTTTTAATTTTTCCAAATTCATCGCATAAACCTTTGTCAACTGCTTGCAGTGTTCTGAAAAACAGAGTTAAAAACAAATGAATCATGAGCACCAGTTTATGATATCTGAAATGAAATAAATGGAATTACATTGGATATATCAAATAGGGGGGATGAAGAAAACAGAAAGGTAAGTTGAAAGAAGTGTTAATTTGATTAAAATGTTGTAAACCAACAATACTGCGAAAATTGGAATTAAGGAAAACGAATAAGACCGTGTACCTGCAGGAAGACCTAGCTGTTGCATTTCAAGTTCAAGATCTCGAGCTGGACATGCATTTTTCGTGGTTTTTTCCAATATGAATATAAGTGCTGCCAACATCCCTTTCACTGATTCATCATCTAAAGAAAATGATACAGGTTTAGCAAAAAAAAAGAAAGAAATTGAAAATGTTTATCCCACGGTAATACGACGACAACATATAAGTGCAGAAAATTATCAGAATCTCTTTCCTAAAACTTATGTGGTAATATGATCAGCAGTCTACCAAATTTAGAAACAATTCTTAGTAGAAATAAACACTCTCTTTAAAAGACGGAGCCAGTCCTACCCCACTATTAATTCAGAAATCTACAAAGAAACAGACTTAAAAGTAGCACAAAACATTACAGGTGAAACAATGCATACATTAAAATCCTTTTTCTTCTACACTACTCTCCCCTTAGCCCCTTACCTAAGCACAGAAGTATATATCATATTGAAAGTTTTTTACCCATGAGAAAGTTTAGCAACACTTACCAAAAGTTTTATCAGCATTGAGGATTGTTAGATGTTCATCATTCCATTCAGTCCTACCATTGATCAGACACTCCACACAGCTCGAACACCAATTTTTGAATTTTAATACAGGCTGAAGAGGTTATCATACAGTATGTGACTAAACAGATAAAGGAAAACTATGATAAAGAAAAAGCCCTTGTTAACGGTATTCTCAAAACATCTTGGGCCTACTTTCATTAGAAGGATAAATGACCATATGTGCTCCAAAGAGAGATTCAAACAATTAGATAATTAGTGACTCCTTCCGGTCCTTCTCTTGTTTTTAAACTTCTCTTGTTCCTTTACAACATTCTCTAATGATAAAATTATTGGGAAAAAATGGAAATTAAACACTCACAAGTTTCGATAAAGATGCCGTCTCAGCAAGGATCCAATCCGGACAGTCCAAACCACCCACAAAATGAAATTTCTGAAGCATTTTTTATTCTGAACGACTTAATGACAGTAGAATTCCTTGATGAAGCATAACCATTCGGAAAAAAGTCATACCAATTGGGAAGGATCAATATGGAGTTACTATAATCAGTTGCCTTTTACTGTTATTTTAGATCGACGGAAATAGATGGTAGCTCAAACCAATTCGGTTAATTGAGTACTTGGGCTACGAGCTACGTATACGACATGCAAAATATATACATATAGTCTGTATATGTATAATCTGACGTATGCAACATCAGAAATCAAAAAAGAAAGACCAATCAAAAGAAATTTCTGATTCATATGTTTCACAGCTATATCTTTTTAATAGCTACCACTTCAAGATCAGTTGAAAAATTTGAAACCACGGATTTAACATATATGAAATTTGCATACCATTATCTCATTTCAAGATTGACTTCAGTTAGTTCAGTGTGCTTCAGTGGAAAGTTGTTTGTGTATTCTTCAACAATTCAACCAGCCCTTCAAAGTTTTGAATTGTATTTTGAAATGGCCGAACAAATACAAACAGATATGCTGCACTTATTCATTCATAATTCGATGGAATAGGAGGAATCTGGTTGTTTCTACCGTGTTTTGTAAGTACTAATTGCGGTCGCCTAGATGATTCATTCATACAATTATTTCCAATCGGAAAAGTTAAATACTAAATTTTTTTTGAAAAAAAAAAAGGAAAGCAATTTGCAGAATGATGCCATTAAAAGCTAAACTAATCCATTTTATCGAAAGACCAAAACAACCTCACATCAAAGAGCTCTCAGTGTTAATGAAAGATCAGACACACTCTTTCACCTGTCCTGATTTCTATTTCCCCTCTCCCTTGGGAAAGGGCAAAAATCAGCAGCAAACCTAAAACCAAAATATTATATGCATGGCTAATCCTATAGTTTTCACTGTAACCTAGTCATTGTAGTTTACTGGAGAGGAAAGAGCGGGTGATGTGATTGGCGGGAGATACTTTTGAAGGAGCGCAAATAATTGGTCTTTGCGAAATAGCATGGAAGATATGATGCTAATTCTTGGATGATAGAAGAGTATGCAGATGAAGAGTGACGAGAAGTTAGGAAGGTTGGTGATAGAATGTGGTGTTGGAGTAGTACAGAGAGTATGCGTGCAATGCATTTTGCAACAAGTAAAATAGGGTGGGGTTGATGGGAAGTGTGGGCAGGGCGAGGCTCGTTGTTTACCGTTTTTTTTTGAATTTTTGTAAGCGGGCACATTCCTCGTCTGTTCTTTGCAAAAAGGTCACCTGGGATGTACATAGGTCACTCATATATCCAACTTCTTCCTTCCATCATTAACATGTAATGTTAAGTTTTTGTCAACGCTTGCCTGTCGTGCATACCAAATACATCGAGTAAAGTGAAGTAGCGCTTTCAGTATTTCAGATTCTATTCTAAATAGTTTTGTGCAAAATGGTGGATGCTTTGGAAGATGAATATGGCACTCCATCTTTGTCACTGAATTTTGTGGATACACCGGATGGCGATTCTTCCTTACTTCACGGAGCTACCCAGGTTACGATTAAGAGAACTCGAGCTTTTATATTTATAAAATTTTCTTTTGAAAATGAATTTCCACTTCAAACCTTTCAAATTTCAGGATTCACAGTTTGAATTTGACCAGCAATTTACACTTCCTTCACAGGGTTGGACTGGCACTCTCCCTGAAGTTGGTGCTGATCAATCACAGGAATTAGTATTCGTAGATGAGGAAGAAGTTCCCGTCCCAGGACAACTACCAGCACATGCATGCAGGTATTTTTGATAATACAAGTCTGTTATTTGGCTAGGAAGAAATTGGATGGGTTCCTGGGGATTTTCTTCCGAATACCGACGATGTCGAGATTCACCAAAAAACCAAAAGTTTGGAAAATTTAATTTCAGATATTGCGGGATACATGATCCGGCTACAGTGGCAATGTGCATAATTTGTCAGAAGTGGTTTTGTAATGGACGTGGAAGTACTTCTGCCGGTCATATAGTTATACATTTGGTGCGTTCGCAGCACAAAGAAGTTTCCTTGCACAAAGAGGGTGCACTTGGTGAAACAGTACTGGAGTGTTACCAGTGTGGTTCGAAGTTTGTTTTCATTTCATTTAGTGCTCTTAAGTAACCTGGTTACAGCTAGATATTTCAAAACATGTTACCAGGAGTTTGAGGCAAAAAGGCCCGATGCATGTGGGATGCTTGTAGCAAGCGGTATTAAACGACAAAGTGGTACATGTGAAATCATGTCATCACTGGAAGGGTAATCGGGGATTATAGTGTTCTGTTTAAATAAAACTCCGACCATAAAAGGAATGCGAAGTTTTTTGAAATCGTTCAATTTCTTACAATTAAAAGATTTGACGCATGCATTAGACACTTTTATGTGGTTTGATTCCAGAAACATTTTTATGCTGGGCTATATTCCTGCAAAAGCAGACACGGTTGTCGTGGTGCTTTGCCGCTCACCTTGTGCAAATCAAGCTGTTTTAAAGGATCACTCCTGGCAGGTTGCAGTTTGTGGTTCTCATTGATGATATGGTTGTTTAATTAATATTTTTGTTGCAGATGATTTCTTCATTTAGCGAAAATGCCTGCAAACTCCTGCTTAAAGTTTAAAGTTTAGTCCGTCGTATTATAAATACTAAAATTGAACTCTTTGGAAAAAAAGGAAAATAAGTACTTTTTTGACGTCTCTGTCAGTTTAGGTGGATGAGTGGAAACCCTTAATCAGCGATCGACAGTTGCTATCTTGGCTTGTAAAGATACCATCTGAGCAGGAACAACTGAGAGCTCGTCAGATAAGTGCTGTCCAAATCAATCGACTTGAAGAACTTTGGAAGGTCCGTTTCTTGCTCTTCTCTTCAGTATATCCACATTATTTAGGAAAAAAGCTTAAAGATTTTCAAATATTATTTGCAATTTTTTTAGGAAGATCCCAAAGCTGTGTTTGAAGATCTGGAAAGGCCGGGAATGGATGAGGAACCAGAACGTGTGCAGCTGAAATACGAAGATGCATATCAGTATAAGCGTGTATTTGAGCCGTTGGTAAAAGCTGAGGCGGACTATGACCGACGGGAAAAAGAATCACAGACACAAAGTGTCGGTCACGTTCGTTGGGATGTTGGTCTCAACCGGAAACCGCAAGCTTTTTTCCAGTTGCCAAAATTTTCGGAAGGAAGTTAGTGAAAACTTTATGAATTTGACTGAGGATGGAAGATCTTTTTATTAAAATCTGTTCGGTATAGCAAAAGTATTTAATTTGCAGCGAAATCCATTGATTTGATAGATTATTTAGATGTCTGTTTTGCTGTATTTCTTCGTTTTGGCAAGCCTATAACTTATAGCATCGTTCCTAAACTCTGCAGGTATGAAGCTGATGTTGGGAGATGAGTTGCGTTTAAAGCACTCTCAAACTGCAGGTGGTGAATGGAGTTCGATTGGGTGTGTTATCAAAATCCCCGACAGTATGTGTGAAATTCATTTAATTCTTAACCAGTTTTTTTCTTTTTCAAGACACTAAACCAACTTTTAGTTAAATTATCACGAATTTTCGACTTTTCAACTAGTTATTTTGAAGTAGAAAAAACTACTTTTTGAAGTAGAAGTTTTAACCCAGTATAGACGTACATCATCGTAATGGAAAATTTTTAATATATCAGTCATTAAACTTCCCTGTTTTTCCACGTACAATGTTAAAGTCCCAATCGGATACTATAATATTTTCTCGGATTGTTTAAGATCTATGAGATATATGAACTAAGTTATTCATCAGTTCTTTCAGACCATAACGATGAGGTTGGGATCGAAATGCGTTTGAAGGCCGAGAATGTACCCACTGACACACGAACGAATTTTACATGTGAATTTGTGTGGAACTCGACATCATTCGACAGGTACTCTTTCAGCATGTTATTTTACTTTTGTGATACTCGTTGATGCTTTTATGATGAGAGTTCGTCTCAAGGCAATTTCAGTGACCTTGTCGTGAACTGGGTCATGTCTCATATGTTTTACATTTATTGATCCTACTGTTGTCGATTTAGTTTCTGCTGACTTGTGTTTTTAATACATGCATTTTATGGAGAACGCGAATTTCAGAATGCAGGCTGCGCTGTCTTTATTGGGTCAAGATGAAGATTGTGTTTCACAGTTTATCTATCACAAGTTAATGGGTCACGATATTGATGATATTATTTTTAAAGTGTCATTGCCGAAAAGGTTTAGCGTACCAGGTTTACCAGAGTTGAATCACAGTCAGGTGCACGCAGTCAAAACTGTTTTACAACGACCCCTGTCACTTATTCAGGTTTTCAATATAATTCACATTGATTTTCCGAAGATTTTCTTTCCTTCCTTGATACCGAAGATTTGGCACTGTGAGAACAGATCTCCATTTAGAGTAGCAGTTTGGGTTATTTATAGGGACCACCTGGAACCGGTAAAACTGTGACTTCAGCTACCATCGTATATCATCTTGTAAAGCAAACTAATGGTCAAGTACTTGTATGTGCGCCGTCCAATATTGCAGTTGATCAGCTAGCTGAAAAAATACATCGTACAGGATTAAAGGTGATTCTTCTACTCATATATTTAGGTGAATTTAGCAGTTTTTAGTTCATACAGTTCATTCATTTCAGTTTTTCATTGTTTTTCATTGCTGGAGATAGCCAGTTTTAATTTCAGGATCCCTTATATCGAACGTTAGCAGAATTTATCTTTCTTTTTTTTCTATTATTGCAGGTCGTGCGGCTGTGTGCAAAAAGCCGTGAAACGCTTGATAGTCCAGTTGCCTTTCTCGCATTGCACAATCAGCTGAAAGCTTTGCACGGTGCAGCTGAATTGCATAAGTTACAGCAGTTGAAGGTCGATTGTTAGAATTTCCATAGATAACTCACAAATCATTACATTTTGGATGCATTAAATAGAAGTTAATTTGGTATCGTGTTTACTACTTGAGTGTATAACCTTTTTAATTCGAGGATATGGTTTTGACAGTTTGAAGGTCATTGCTGATATGAATGCAAGTGAGAGTTTATTGGATTTATTTACAATGTCTGTTGATTCACTAAACTTTAATCAGTTATTCTTTTTGGTAAGAGAGGGTAGTTTATTGTGTGGGAAGTGTCGGACAGTACAGTTAGTTCAATGCATCTGTGATTGTTAATGATAAAATATCTATCAGTTTTTGAAGAGGATTAGTTAACTCTTCTTTCATCTGCAGGAAGAAATCGGAGAATTGGCGGATGCAGATGAGCGTCGCTTTCGTGCCTTGCGTATAGCGAAGGAATGCCAACTGTTGGCTGCTGCTGACGTTATTTGTTGTACGTGTGTCTCGGCTGCAGATAGCCGTCTCTCACATATGAGAATTAAGTGAGTGTTCTCTGGTACAATGCTTGCAGGAACTGTAGTATACTATTTAAGTGTGGACAGAAATATGTCAAAATATGTTGCTGATTTGTTATATAATGTGAGTTAAGATGTGTTTTGATTGATGAGTCGACACAAGCTACGGAACCTGAGGTAATGGTAGCTGTTGTTTGCGGTGTACGTCAACTGGTACTTGTTGGGGACCACTGTCAATTGGGTCCTGTGATTATGTGTAAGAAGGTAAATATCTTATGTGTTCAGAAATTTCGATATTATTCTCGATGTTGGTGTTAGTTTTTATTTAATTTTGGTTTTTTTTTTTTTTCAAGGCAGCCAAAGCTGGTTTGTCACAATCACTTTTTGAACGGCTTGTTTTGCTTGGAAATCGTCCGATTCGCCTACAAGTACAGTATCGTATGCATCCCGCGCTCTCGTCGTTTCCGAGCAATGTTTTCTACGAAGGAAGCTTGCAAAATGGTGTTACTGAAGGTAAGCATTCATTTATTTGCAAAGACAACTCACGTAATCATAATCTAAATGCATGTAATCTTTAGATGGGGAATAAAAGGGAAAAGAAAAGTGTTTTAACTTATAGTGATTTATTTCATCTCAGGTGTCGTCGTATTTGTTGTTTACTTCAGAGGAGCGACAACTGATTATACATGTTTTTTTAGGAGAGCGACAATTGATTGGGATTGATTGGCAGTGGCCGGTACCAGATAAACCGATGATGTTTTGGAGTTGCTATGGCCAAGAGGAGCTTAGCTCTTCAGGCACTTCATTTCTAAATAGGTAACTTTTGGCGCTGTATATGAACTGATATTTTTTGGCTACGGTGGGAACGGATGCTTTCCAGAAAGTTTATATGTTTTTATTGTTTCAGTTACAAAAACAACCTTTCACCACTTTTTTTCCAGAACTGAAGCAGCGAACGTTGAGAAACTAGCCACTCGTTTTCTCAAAGCTGGAATAAAACCGGAACAAATTGGTATAATCACTCCCTATGAAGGACAAAGATCGTACATTGTACAATTCATGCAAACACAGGGTGCTTTGCATAGTAAGTTGTATCTCGAAATGGAGGTTGCTAATGTGGATGCTTTCCAGGTATTCCTTTTTAACATCAGTAAGTTATCATTGATATGAATAATGGCACATCCCTAGGTATTAAGCTTTATTCAGTTTTCTAATCTTTACCAGTAGATGTTCTAGATTATACAAAGCTGCTGTAGTCTTACCAACAGGTAGGTTATTCAACAGAGACTTCTCGTACTCTGCCACTAAAGGTGATCGGACGTTCGATGCGTTTTTTACACACGGTAACGTTAATGGTCTGATACTAAATGCTGCCCATGGAACTGTTCTGCATAATCCATTCCCTGATCAAGCTCTTTAAATTGTCAGTTTTTTCCAGGTTTCAAAAATTTAAGGTTGTATGATGTAATACTAAGACAACTACAAGGTATTAAAAAGTAATAGAATTGAGGTAGCAAGATAACTGATAACTGCTGGGTAGTTCCGTTCTTTTTATTGCAGTATGCATGGGGTGCTTTCAAGGTGCAGCAGCACATCAAAGATTGTATGATGTAATAGTAGGTGTGCTGCATTTGTTTTTAATGTTTGCACAACTTCGTGATCGTTGTGTTAGAGTTTCTGAAAGGCCGAAGTGAAATTTTCAGGGCCGTGAAAAGGATATCATAATAGTGACATGTGTTCGATCTAATGATCATCAAGGCATTGGTTTCCTGAATGATTCTAGACGTTTGAATGTTGCACTTACACGCGCTAAATTTGGCCTTATCATAGTTGGCAACGCAAAAGTACTATCGAGACATCCACTGTGGAATTATTTACTATCTGTGTTCAAGGAAAAGGGTTGCCTCGTTGAAGGCCCATTGAATAATTTGAAACCGTCACCAATTACACTTTCCAAACCGCGTCGTGTTCCGCACGTTATGAATGTAAATTGTTCATCCCATTTAATTAAAGTTTTAAGAAATTCGATACTTGAAGCGAAATATGGATGCTTTAGTATCGTGAATATGAGCCATTACTTCTGGAAAGTATGCAGTAAATTAAAAGTGATTTTTTGACTAAAACTGTAAACTGCATGATTTAATATACATATATAAACTACCATGAACTGGTATGCAAGTCGTTTTTCTCCAATTTTATAAATCCAGTCAGAGACGATTAATTTTTGCAGATGAATCGTTTCATTCCACGTGGAGCAGTTTTGGCAAAAGATATACAGGGCAGTGCATTTGGTACTCGTAGTCGAGATTTGCGGACGATACAAGATCCATTCGCAGCCATTACTCATGATCAGTTACGACCTCAAAATGGGATCAACATTCCGGTACCCATACAGATGTTTGTTCAACCGCCGCCTCATTATTATCGACCTCCACCTAATCCACGTTATGGCGATTTGAATTCTGCTACCGGTAGTACGGCACGGAATCGTAAACATTTGGAAACACTGAATATGTTTAGTTCACAACAGTCTCAAGATCCCATTTATATGCAACAAATCGGCGAAATGTCGGGCAAGTCGCAATTTTGTTTACAGATCATGTTTAGAGGTCATTTTTAGATAACCCAGATCTTAGTTAGGTTTAGTTTCCTTCAAAGGACACAGTGTGCTTCAGTGGAAAATTTTCAGGTATATCCCAGGATACATCGGATTGGACGCAGTCGCAAACACAGCATGGTGCTTCTCAAGGAGGTATTTCGTCCAGCCAGGTGACATTTTATGGCAGTACTTGAATTAATGAGCTGGTAATAGTGATTTTTACCAAAGATATTTTCGATAAGAAATGATATGAACAAAGAGTAGTCTTTCTCTAGAATGGCATTCGTCCAATTTTAGAATGAATTCAGAAATTAATTGATTTTTTTGTGGTTGTGCTAACGCGATTTCATAGATACTGGAAATTGATTCTGAATTCCATTATAATGTGTCGTATTTTGAAAAAAGTCGGCAGATTTATGATTTCATAATCTTTAACTAAACTAAAAGATTTGATATTTTGATATAATCATATTCTATTATTCTATCCATTTTTTGACTTGGAAGCATTTATTTTTTCAGGATCAATTATTGGTTAGCCAAATGGAATCACTCTTTCTGTCGCAAGATGCAAATACGGAAAATTATAATTTCGGTGATGTAAGTCAGTATTAATGAAAAGCACAAACATATGATTATGTGAGGCCTGGAGCACTAAAATGCCGACTTGCTGGATAAGCAATCAGTAAAACAGAGGCACAGCCCAATAATTGGGTTAACGTCCATCAAGGCAGTATTTCGGTTAATCACTACTAATATCGAGTCGTTCGAGAAAGGATTATGGAATGAATTGTTTGAAGTTGAAAATACAAATTTTAGTTTTTTATCGTTGTAAATTTTCGTTGAGTCAATTATGTGAAAGATGTGTTTCTCTCCATAATGATGCTTATTTTTTTGCTACAATGTTGTTCGAGTAATTGTCAGTTGTATGTAATGCGCGAACATTTATTCATTTCTTGGTATTTATAGTGGAGTAGTATTGCGTTTAATGTATCTGTCGGTAGTGATTATGGGATTCACTGTTCAAAAGCAGCTTAGACTTTGGGATAATTTCATTATTTGTAATGGAGGTAGTACAACACGATGAGCAGTAAATCATAATTATTGGAAGATATTTTGAGCCATTTCAGTATATAATATAAATAGTTTTGACGAAGCAAAGATCTACTAGCTAACCCCTATTCAACTTAACTATCTCTTATGCATGTTGAGACAGTTATAGTATGTTCCAAAAGTGTATTGTTTTTTACTTAAGGGCAGTGTTTTAGAAGCAGTTTTTAATTCCAGGAGTTCAGTGCATATTAAAACTATTTAAAGGTGGTCTTCACTGCAGTTGATTTGTAGTAATATCGCTTCCTGCCATTAATAATTCATTGACTTGTTTCTATTTTTCATGTTTTGTATCCAAATTTAAAATTTCTTAGGGATAATTGATTTCTCGGGGTTTTTGTGAATTTGTATATTGCACTAAAAAAATTATGTTTCAAATATTCTCTTCAGAATTCTCCTTGAACGTTCATGAGAATTGAGAAATTCGTATTGTAAACACAATAATCCTTTATACCAGACTACCTTACAGTTATCTTCTGATTATTATTTCACTGACCCGGATTTTTCGGAAAATCTTTTGTATTTTTCTTGCGAATAAATCGGATCGTATTTCCAAATCCAGCATTTTGTATGACCATCATTGATGTACTTCAAATTCATAAAAGGTATTTCCCTCGATATTTCGAAGGGTTCTCCTTGGTAACATTGTTTTGCTTACAGGGTACAAGTAAATCATGCATACATTTTGGCTGGAAATGGTATATCATGTTGAGATTTGTCTCTGGTTTCAACTTTTTTCATTTCATCGAAAAAATATTAACATAGCTGTGACTATCTAATCGCACTATTGCCTTGTATATAATGGAAACTTCGATTAAATAATTAGACAAGCGCAGTTGATCGAATGGACGGGTTTTTTGTTTCTCAGTTCTGAAGTAGCCCATTAACAACTTGAATTGTTTCATTCCCTCTCTTCTTGTTCTTAGTAAGATATTCGAATATCTTACCTTGAACGGCGATATTTGACAGGAAGACATTCCAAAATTAGTAGAATTCGAGAAAAATAAGTACTCTCATGAACATATAATCTTATGCGCAAAAAAGAAGTCAATTTTTCAATGCAGTGACGTGTGGCGAGGTTAGAAAAAAATAGCGAGGAACACATAGATGAACTGAACTTGTGTGGAGAACTGAGGTCACTCTCGGATTGAGGAATAATTCGAGGTTTTTTGAAAAAAAAAGAATATTTAGGAAGTGAAATTTGTGTTTCGGAATGGGTAAACGTGGTATTCGAAATCGGAAGAGAAATATTGATGCTGTAAAGAAAAAGGTTGAACTTTTGGTCCCTCGATAACTGCAGTTTCTTTTATCCTAATTAAACGTAACACTGTCATCTGTTTTCGTATGATGGCAATGGACGATTACTTGATGGAACGACGGTCATTACGCTTTGCAATGCCGCAAATAATCTGGGATTGTTGTGGATCAGTTTTGTAAAGACAAACTTCAATTTTTTGAATAAAGTATTATATTCTTCCGTTTCACATGAAGTAAACGTTGAATTTTGCAGGGTGAAACTCAGAACTATGTATTAGCCGAATTTGATAAAACAAATGAGAACTTTGTTCTATATTACAAAAGTCAGGGAATTGTGAAAGATGATGAATGGGATGCATTCATAGCGGCTTTAAAAAACGATTTACCAACGTCGTTCCGCTTCCAAGGGAGTAGCAAGTATTTTTTTTCTTTTGTAGATTTTTAGTGCTTTCGAATATATATTACTATCGAATAGCACATCAACAAGAGTTCGTTGAAACTCATTTAGAACAAGACAAGTATACTATATAAACATGTAAGTCAACATATCAAACTGTAGTATGCTGGAGTTCTTAATTTTTGTTAGTGCAGAAAAATGTTTAGTGACATAAATATAGACGAGGCAACAAGTATGCACAATAAAAATTAAAAATGTATACCCTCTGACTGGTAACCTGCAGACTCAAGAATTGTTCCTTATTCAGTTCACTTGTTGATAAAGATTTTAGTCCTAGAGATTACTTGAAGTCTGCGGGGTATCTTTCCGTGACGAGTCATTTTTATAATAGTATTTTGATGATAGCTTTTGTTCTTTTTCTGTTGAAAAAAGTTAATATATAACAAGTTGACATAGTTTACGCTGCAGTTTTTGACTTCTGACCTGAGTCATCAGTTAATTTCTTATCTCAGATAGAAATGCATTGAAATTTTGTTTTAATGATCGGGATTTTTAGATAGTATCATAGGATTTTTTCTATGCATGCATTCATATCCGAAACTGTTGGATGTTTTGAATATATTCCACTCTTTTTTTAAATCAGATGGCAGTTATCCAAACGAATTATAGCAAAGCACAGTCTCTGATCGAATTAATGAACACTCGTTATCTCGAGCCCATGAAACAATGGAAAGATAGTGATTCATTTATACCAAAGCAGCTTCCCTGGTATCCATATGCTTTCCAGACCCCGATGTCACGTGCCACACTACGCAGTGGACCATTGTTGAAGGACTTCCACAATTTTCTTATCACAGAGGCTGAACTGGTATTCATACTATATGTATATATATATATATATATATATATATATATATATATATATATATATATATATATATATATATATAT